CGAGATTTCGTCAAGAAGATTGTTGGGGTAAGTGATTCTAACTCGGATTGGACTATATTTCATGAATCTATTGCTATTTTCATCATATAATTAGGGATTTGAGTTGTAAATTTGGGAAAAAATGGTAGAAACTTCATAGGCTAAAATTTTGAGTTTTGGAAGGTGATTTGAGATTGGATTCGAGTAATTCTTTTAAGGCTAGACTTGTGAGTGGATGGTTGTTCATATTTTTTGACTTTTATCGGATTTCGAGACGTGGGCCCGGGGGCCGGTTTGAGCCTATTTCGGATTTTGGCTTATAATTTCATATTTTTCTTGTGGGATTGATTCTTTTTGCTTATATTAATTATATCATAATGCTTACGGCTAGATTCGAAGCATTTGGAGATTGATTCGATGGGCAAGGGCATTGCGGAGTAGGAGTTTGCGCGGTTTGAGGTAAGTAACAATCTTAAATCTGGTTTTGAGGGTATGAAACCCCGAGAATTGGTATGATGTGAGTGCTGAAGGTGATGCACACGCTAGGTGACAGGCGCGTGAGTGTGCACCGTGAGGGATTGTGACTTGGTCCATCTCGTGCGGCTGTAAAGTCGAATAGCCATTGTAATTACTTGTTTTTCCTTGTGTTTAAGCAATTGACTGCCTTTCATGTTAGAAACTATGCTTAGGCCATATAATATCATTGTTGGGACACGCAACGGTCGTATTCTTATTGAATTGACTGCTAATTGCTGTCTTGTACTAAGTCACGGTCTTAATTATGTGTTATATCTCCGTTCCCTCTCATTTCTTGTTGATACTTGTTGTATTCTCTGTTTGGACTGATTATTATGATTTTCTTTGACCTCAATGGGCTGGTCATGTTAGTGACTGAGATAGGGCCTGCGTGTTGAGCTGTGAACTATGTGAGGGTATATGGATCGGGTTGCCGCCGCAACGAGCCTTATGGCTAGTTATGGACTGTGAATCGGGTTGCACGCCGCAATGAGTCTTATGGCTACTTATATGATTGGGTCGGGTTGCACGCTGCAGCGATATAACACTTGGGCTGGAAGGAGCCCCTTCGGAGTCTGCACACCCCCAGTGAGCGCAGGTACCTATTGAGAGTGTGTAATGAGGGCTGAAAGTCGAGAGCCAAGACTATGAGCTGTTGAGATGGGTTGGGTGATTACTGCCTTGAGAGGTTGTACTTGCTTTTATTTATTGTTGCACTTATGTTGTTATCTGTTGTTATTATGAAATTTCTGGAAGATTCATATCTGTTTTACTTGAGCTCGAACTGATTTGAATTATACCACCAGATTTGAAAGCATGTTCACTCTTTACTGAAAACTTTTGAAATGATCTGTATTTTTTTATGGCTCGTCACTGCTTCTCAGTTCCTTATTTAATTCTGTTACTTTATGAGTTGGTTGTACTCATGCTACACCCTACACTTCATGTGAAGATCCAGGTGTGTACGATTCTGACGGTCGCTGAGTTCGTGTGCGAGCTGATTATCAGAGACTTACGAGGTAGTTGTCGGCGTCTGCAGTCCTTGTTTCTCCTTTCTTATTATTTTTTCTCTCTTGTATTGGCATTTGGCACAGACTGTAGTAGACTTTATTTCTAGATTGGTTGTTAGATGCTCATGACTTAGTGACACCCCGAGGTCGGGCTATCATTCTGCACTTATAATTGGGTTTTTACCCCGTTGTTATATAAACCTTCAGTTAATTTAATTGCTTTAGCTCACTTTTATTATATATTGAAAGCATATTGAGAATGTTTGCTTGCCTAGTTTCACGATAGGCGCCATCACGACGGATTAAGTATTTGGGTCATGACATAGGTGATCTAATAGTGTAATAATTTTTATACTCCATTTTTGTATAAAAGCTAAAACTTAGAATAGAAACATTAAATATATAAAAACTATATATATGTACCCAGGTGGAAGATTATTAGGGCCATGCTCGAAGTAAAAGGATACAATATCTTTGGCAGCAGAGAAGGGACGACCCTTTTTATTTGGAGCACTTATCATAGTAGTCAGTATGCCACTTGTACTTGTTTCCGCAATCACATCAAAGTAATCTGCAAGTCTTGCATCTTCATCACTGTCTAATTCCTGACTAAAAAATAACCATATATTAATCAGATACATCTATACAAACTTTTTATTTTGATAATTCCTTTTTAGCTTTAAATTCTTTTGTAGTAACTCAAATTCTTTTGTTTTCAAACTATGCATGAGATCTTTGTTTTAATTCTTTTTATATATAGGAGGGTTAACAACAAAATCATATCCCGTATAATCCTACATAGTGGGGTTTGGGAGAAGTACGCAGACCTTACTTCTACTTGTTAAGATAGAGAAGCGATTTTCAATAATTGACCCTCGACTCAGAAAAGTTTAAGCACAAGTAATAAAAAGAAAAACGGCAAGGAACAACAGTAAGAAGCCGTAGAAAATATATTTGCAGTAAACTTGGAGTTGGCTTTCCAGAAAAGAAAGAACAGTAGCAGGAATGATGCCTTTAATGCCACCTCCATCAATGCTAAGAACAATCACCATTTCTCCCACCACAGAGGATGTTGATCCAGTAGTTGCCAGTACCAAAAAAAATAAAATAAAAAAAGATCTGGTAATTGCCATTTCAGATAATTAGAGTATCTTTTTTGGACTACAAAATTAGTTGCAAATAAACAATAGCTCAAGTATTAAGATTTTTTTGGTGCTTTGAGCATCAAACAAGAAGGGTTTATATAACCATGTAAACAGTGTAACGTCTCGTGCACCACCGTGTTCCAATTTTCCCACGAAGATGACTGATGACAAACATGAAGATGATTGATGACAAACATGAAGATGACTGATGACTGTGTTTTTTATTAAAAGTTAGTCTTTTTATTTATAAAATTGCAAATAGAAAGAATTAGCACATGGCATTTTCACGGGCGTATCTAAAGGGGTTCCCAGGGTCATGCGAACCCATACTCCCCTCATTAGATCATGTATAGTAATGTTATACTTTTTTAAAATACTTAAATATATATATGGATACCGTCAAAGCTCAAAATATCATGCGATGCGATAATTATTGGGTACACACCTCTCAGTGAAGTTGTGAGTTAAATCTTATCTCTAGCTATCTTGTTTTTTTTCCTTTCTTTTTCTAGAATTTGCCACACCCACGAGAGATAGGCATGTGTAGTACCACTTCTAGCTCATTGATTAAGTACATTCTCTTTTTCTTTCTTTCTTTCTTTGGTATATTCTTTCAAAAATTCCAAGTCCGACACATTGAGGAGTATAGATGTATATGAAAAAACTAAAGGTTGAAGCCGTAAAATTTATATCATGAATCCACCTTTTTGTAATAGTGCACCCATTTTTTCAAAATTCTGGAACCTCCTCCTTATTGTATGTGCAACAACCCGACCGATCGTTTTGAGTATTCTAGCCTCGTTCCCCTATTTATTGCCTCCTATATGTTCAATTGTGGTTATGTGATTTGCAGGGGTGGTTAGTTTGGTTTCGGAGTTAATTGGGACACTTAGTCCCAAGGTTGGAAGCTTAAGTTGAAAGAGTTGACGAGAGTTTCACTTTTGTGTAGACGATACCAGAGTAGAGTTTTAATGGTTCCGTGGCTTCGTATGATGATTTTGGACATAGGCGTATGTCCGGATATTGATTTAGAGCTCCGTAGGTTAGTTTGAGGCGTTTTGGCGAAAGTTATAAAATTGAAGGTTTGGAAGGTTGATAGGATTGACCGATGTTTGACTTTATTGATATCGGGCTCGGATTGTGATTCCAGGAGTTGATATAGATTCGTTGTGTCATTTGAGACTTGTATGCAAAATTTGAGCGCATTCGGAGTTGGTTGTTATGATTCGGCGTTAGTTTTAGAAGTTGAATGTTAATTGATTCAATAGGCTTGAATTGGGGTGCGATTCGTAGTTTTGATGTCGTTTGATGTAATTTAAGGCGTCGATTAAATTCGTTGTGTATTTTGGGACTTGATGTTATGTTCGGATGGGTTCTCAGGGGGCCTGGGTGTGATTCAGATTGAATTCGGGTCATTTTGTACTTGGGAAGATTGCTGATGAATAGTTGGCTATAAAAAGAGACATTAAAGAAGGAAGAAGATCTGAACTGAACTGAAGCACTAAACTGAAACGACACTTCTTCTCTAAAAAGCTTACTACTCCCTCATCATTGTATTTATTTATGAGCATTGTGCTTTCTTAGAAAAACTATCCCAACTGAAAATGGATAAATTTCACTCTCAAATTGTACTTAGAAACGTTTTAAGCCTAAACTCCCGACTGTCAAGAAGAGTTAGACAAGAGTTTGTTTGTGTCAAAGATAACTATTTTTATGGTAAATAAATACTTCAAGCTAACTTACATGACTACTTTGTCAAATTCAAATTTAACCTTTTACTCCCCCGTTCAATTTATGTGAATCTGTTTTACTGTACACGGAATTTAAGAACAAAATGAAGACTTTTGGAATTTGTGGTCCTAAACAATTCAAAAAGGGGCCGAGAGTATTTGTATGGGTATAAAAGCTTCTCATTAAGGGTAGAATTGTAAGTTTAACCAAAATTGTTTCCAAATTTAGAAAGGGGTCATTCTTTTTGGAACGGACTAAAAAGGAAATAGGTTCACATAAATTGGAACGGAGGTAGTACTACTTTAGCGTTCAGGGAATAACTTTTATGTCAATGAGTGACTAAACCAGACTAAATATATGGCATAAAATAATGTTCATTCACTAAAAATAAGATTAAAATCATAGATAAGAACTTAATTAATAGTTTATCTACATCGAGCTATTGCTAACAATATGGATAAAATCTACATCAAGTATGTCAATATAAGATCACTATAAATATTTAAAACAAAACGACAATTATGATAGAGAACTATTGAATTGAAGAAGATCCATTTGCCCTAAGAGCACCAAAGGTGAATCATGGAGCCTTATTTAGTGTTGAAATAGAAAGAGCTAGCTAGTCACGAAATTCAGATGCCCTAGCATTGGAGCCATACGAAAAGCTCGCCCTAGCCCCCCCATAAGGAGCCAAGGCACTTCCAAGGGTACGATATGGAAATGCAATACCATGCACCTTTTGCTGGTGTTCCGCCTCTATTTCACATTGCTTCTTTGTCATTTCCATTGCCTCTGCCATTTGTTGAAGTTGAAAAAAGTTTAGCTCTTCAATTGGAGCTTCCCACCAACGCTCCTCCCTCCAGGTTCTTTGTAAGTCTTTTCCGCGGCTTCTCTCCATTTCCAATATCCCCTCTTTATCGATCAACTCTTCCATATTGACCTCACCAACATTAGCATTTCGATGGTTAGGAACATCAATATTGGGTTGAGGGTTCTCTACGAGGAACTTATCCATGACCAAATCCACAGAAGGGTGGCCAAATGAATAAACTTTGTTTCCGGGGGAAAAACCCACTAAGGCAACTTCAGCACCACTTAATGTACAAAGTTCACTAGCCTTCTTGAAGAGGCCAATTCGTCGCTTGGAGAAACTCACTTGTAAGTTTCTCTCGTTTTGTATCTTCACCATGTCAATTTTTTTGCGACCGTTACTCTTTCTTCCCATGGCTAAACTTATGATTTGAGAAACAAAGAGAAAGGTGATTTTGGGTCTCACCACTAAGAGTTTATTTATAGCTGTAAAATCTTTTTATTGTTTGAATGGAAATGAATTCAATTAACAAGGGAATCAAACCTTTTAATGTTAATTCCTTTTCTAGAAGGATTTGAATCAAATACCTGCCCCATTCGTTGTTCCATTTCTTTATTAGTCAGTGCTAATCCTAAATGATCATAATTAGACAATACATATTTTACTTTATTAGAATTATGTTATTGGATTGCACTTAGACCACATCTATTATTTTGTGGAGAAGTTAAAGAAAAGTAATAAAAATAAGGAGTACCTTTTATGGGGAAATTTTTGCTGCACGCCATTCTTTTATGGTATAAGTTTTAGTATGTTCATATTAAAAGATGGCAATTTATGAAGTAAAGTTTTTTCCCCTACAGTGCTCATGCATTCTACGTTTTGAGAAATATTTATTTTCTTACTCATAAAGTGTAAATGTTTTGAGAAATTTAATATAAAATCTTAAGATAATTAGAATTTAATTTAGAGCCTTTACGAACTCGTAAATCCTAATCGTAATACTTATGGCAAGTGAAAGAAATTTGTACCACAAAACCCTAAAATCTAAGCATAATTTATTGAATAACATTAATCTTTATAAACCTCTTAAACACCATTCTAAACCTGACATGATAAATAGGAAATACAAGAATAATAACTACGGTCTTAAACAAGTTGGGGTTCGTTATATCACTGACCATGTCTGACACGACCCAACATCCAACCCGTCGTGGTGGCACCTAACCCTACCCGCTAGGTAAGCCAAATAACAATAAAATACAATATAGTAATATTGCTAAGAGTCAAGAAGGAAATAACGGAATTTTATACAACTCCCCAAGGACTCGTAGTACAAGTCATGAGCCACTAAGACTTAGATTTTTACAGAACTGAATTGAAATAATTACAACATCTGTTTATAATGTAAATGAACAAAATTCGAATCTAAAGCTACCAAGGACAAGTGATAGCCAAAACTGGAATGCAGGTACATCTTCAATGCTAGCTCCCGCCATACATAGCAGCATCACACCAAGATCTGCACGCAAGGTGTAAAAGTGTAGTATGAGTACAACCAACCTCATGTACTCAATAAGTATCCTAACTAGCCTCGGCGAGATAAAAGAAGCAAGAACTATAGATCATACTCACTAACACCTGTGCAGTTTATAATTTCAATAAAGATAGAACATATGTATGGTCAAATCAGGAAAATCTTGGGTAAAACCACTTTGATGCTCACAATTCTTTGTTTTAAAATGTTCTGCTCAGTCAACAATCCAGCATATAAGAAAGATATTTAGGTAAATCAGATAAACAATCAAAAAAATTGTAAGTAAAAATAGAACTGTATAGTGACAATCTATTTTGTATAATTATACGTATAAATTGTCTCCCTTATCTGGAAAAAGATTCACGAGTTCAGATCTTTATGTTCCATAAATTTATGTTTTTGTTTGTTGGGTTTTGTTTTCTCCTTTTTTCTTGGTGGCAGGGTAATCGTAGGTGGGTGGCACATATTGAGTGNACTTCTACACGTAAAATGCAATATGCACACAAAAAAATATAGTTCAAAAAGTATGTATTTGTTGAATTTTCATTAACCACAACAGAGAATTATGTTGTAATATGGTTCAGGCTGTGATGCACGTTCATAATTCATGTTGTGAACTATTTTCTTTGATTGCCCAAACTCACAAATTAAACTTTTGGAAAGACATTATGGTCTTTAACTCTAAAACCCCAATGACTCTCCCTATTGTTTTTTCTATTAAGTCTTGGAACGCAACTTGGAATTAATTAACATCAAGAATTCAGGAGTACAATGATTACCTCCCTTGGGTCATTGACACATCTGATTTACTGGGAGTGATAATGTCTTTAATCATAAAGAATGAAAAGGCTAAAGTTTCTTTAATTGCTAAACCTAGTAAGTTAATTGGGAAACATGTTGTTGGGGGATAAGGGGAAATACTAGAAATAGTAGGGGCGATTGGGGTTTCATGAAGGTATCCCCAACACTACTAACACTCTAGCTCAACTATTGGCGCTTATGTAGAGATTCAAGATTGAGGTAGAAAATTCACTTTCTCCGCTAGAGATAATTGTAGACTCCACTGAGATAATCAATATGCTACAAAATGGAAATATACTTAAAACTCTATTATTTTGGAATGCAGGTCATTGATGATGCTCCTAGGGACCACAAGCATTGCTTATAGCTGCAGGGAGCAAAACCAAGTAGCGGATGCACCAGCAAAAAAAAGCGCCATCGATCTGTATGATCATTCAAATCTTTTAAATTTTGAAGTTTCTTGTATTTACTTGAGCATAATTTAGCAAAAGATAATATTAATGATTTGCTGCTGTAGAAAAGAGATTGATGTACTGTTCTTTTGCATTTTCTACCTCTTCTTTTTATGCATCCACGTTTGCAAGAAGACGTGTCTTGCTTTGCTAAAACATAAAGGAAATTACTTATATGAGGTAATGAAAAGAAAATGAACTCAATGTAAAAAGCAGCAAAGCTGTATACAATAATGAAAATCACTGCATTTATCTTGGTGCTATTTTTTTTGATAACCATAGTATTTGGGCCAGCTTGGACGCACCTCGATTAATTCCACTAGAAATATGTCATCTCTATCATCAACAAGTATCAAGTAACTCTATCTACCAAATCGTGGATAGAGTTTTTTGCCTCCATTGGGAATTGAACTTGAGATCTCATGATTCTCACCTACTTCATGGACCACTAGACAACACCCTTCGCTGCATTTCAGGTGCTAAACTTGGCAGATTTTGTTATTTTATATAATAACTAATTAACTCTTTTGCAGAATACATTTACGGAGATTATTAAGGAGAAGTTGGAGGAAACTGAAATGTCAAGAGATGAAGATACTTTGACAGTAGATGGTGGAGATACAGAAAGAAACACAAACATACCATTCAAATTCCATTGCATAGAACAACAAAAAAAATTTATTTCTATTTTTATTTTCATTGGTTTGGCTTAGAATAACACAACCAAAAGTTTACGTAGCTCTTTTAATTAGCATATTATATAGAGAGGGAAAATGTAATGATCCGACCGGCCATTTTGAGTATTTTAATCCCATTCCCCTATTTATTGTCTCATTTATGTTCAATTATGGTTATGTGACTTGCCAAAATAGTTTGTTTGGTTTCAGTAGAGTTTCAGAGTGAATTGGAATACTTAGTCCCGAGGTTAGAAGCTTAAGTTGAAAGAGTTTACCAGAGTTTGACTTTTGTGTAGACGACTCCAGAATGGAATTATGATCTCAGGTGCGGCTGGGGATCGCAGAAGCGAATGGAGGCTAGCAGAGAGAATGTCGCAGGTGCAGACACCTGGGCGCAAGTGCGCACGCACATAAGCGGCAACTTCTCCGCAGATGCGGGATTTGGACTGGGGGTGAGGGACTACAGGTGCGGTGACTATTGCACAGGAGCGGACGCAATGAAGTGCTCTTGGGCCCGCAGAGGCGGATGCATAGGTGTGCCTTTTCTCCGCAGAAGTGGAAGTCCATGATCTTTAGTGGCTTCTACATCTGTGATGTAATTTTCGCAGATGCGGAGTCGCAGAAGCGATTAAATGTTTGCAGAAGCGAAAGGTCTAGGCAGAAAAAAGGATGAAATCGAGTGTTTATTTCATTTTCCACATTTTGATTTGACTTGCATAGGTTAATTTTATTATTTAATACTTGTCTGTAAAGTTTGGTGCAAAACGGAGTTATTTTGATAGGAATCGGACGTTCGGTTGTGAAGTTGAAAGTTCTTGAGTTTTTTTGAAAATTACATGTATGTTGATGTCTGATTCGTAGTTCTAGGTATTATTTTGGTGTTTTGATCACTCGAGCAAGTTCGTATGATATTATTACATGTATGTGCATGTTTGGTTGGAGCCCGAGGGGTTCCAGTGACTTTCGGATAGGCCACAGATCACTTTTAGACTTTGGAAATTGCTGCTTTCAGTTGTTGCTAGTGTCTGATAAACTGTGCTTCGGGATCGCGAAGGAACTCTCGCGATCACGAAGGAGAAATTGGGATATGGAAGGATGTTCTTCTACGTGAACACGGAGAATCGGCCGCGAACACAAAACAATTGAGGGATTACCCATCGCGAACGTGACCGTTTACACGTAAACGCGATGGGTTAAAGGGGATTTTGGGGGAGGCAGGTGTTACTCTACGCGACAGCGAGCTCAGGCTCGCGAACGCGAAGGCCAGGTGGGTGAGGCCTTCGGAAACGCGAAGGGTTTCCCACAAATGCTAAGGCCAGTTAGGCTACAAAGCTTCACGATTGCTTCAGGTTTCTCGCAAACACGATGAACACCTGACGCCAGTGATTTAAAACAGTCCAAAAATAGGGATTTATCCTATTTCTCACCATTTTCAAGTTTGAGCTCGGCCTAGAGGCGATTTGGAAGAGTTGTTTCATCCAAACTTCATAGGTTAGTAGATTTTAACTTATTTCCTTCTATTTTCATAAACACCCATTGACTTTAACCTTTAACCTACGCTTTTTCATGGTAGAAATTAGGGATTTAGGTATAAATTATGGATTTTGAGAAATTGAGATTTAGATCTCAATTTGAGGTCGTATTTCGACACAAATCACATAATCGGGCTCAGGGGTGAATGAGTAATCTGGTTTTGGTCTGAATCTCGATTTTTAACCAAGTGACCCAAGGTTAACTTTTGTTGATCTTTTTTCCAAAATTATTAAAGATTGAATCTTTTTCACCTGCGGGCAGTTTCTAAAGCTTATTTTTAATTGTTTGAACTGTATTTGGTTAGATTTGATTGGGTTGGATGCTAATTCTATAGGAAAGCTGCGGTTGCCAAATCTCCGTATACATTTATTTCTCATTGTATATCATTATCTTATTTTTAACTATTAAAATTGGTTA